TGTTTGTTGCCCATACTGCGTGCATTAGTGTACATGCACTTCAGGTGGGCTGTTGATTTAATTCTTAACTCAGGCTTTCCAACCTTAGGCTGATCACTGGAGAGCCCGGTTTCAACCCCTTCCCCCTTCAAACCTAGTTGAAAGCCCTCCTAATCAGCCTCGCTAACTTATGGGCTACAGTCCTCTTCTTCTTCCTAGAAAGATGAATCCCATCTGATTTTAAGAGACTAGGTACCATGGAGTTTGCCCCATGGTCAAAGAAACCAAAATTTTGATGGTGGCACCAATTCTTTAGCCATCTGTTGAGGAGTTGGGCTTTTTTACTCCTCTCTTTATTTAACTCCTCATCCATCCCAGATAGTACAGGAACTGAGGCAAATATCACCTGTGCTCCTGTCCCCTGAACTGACCGACCCAGTGCTTTAAAGTCTTTTTTAATTATCTTGGCACTTCTTTGATTAATGTCCTCACTGCCAGCCTGGACTACCACCAGAGGATAATAGTCTGAGGGCTGAATTAACTCAGGAAGTCTCCTACTAATATCCCTCACCCTGGCCCCAGGAAGGCAGCATACTTCTCTCTGGGATGGGTCTGGGCGACATATAGGGCCCTCAGTTCCCCTCAAAAGGGAGTCACCGACTACAACTACCCTTCTTTTTTTTTTTATACCTGTGGTTGTAATCCGTCTTGTGGACAGGGCCGAACAAGGAGGCTCTCTAGAGGGATCATCTTGGCTGTCCTCTACCTGACTGTCTGGGTCCAGAGTCTCGTATCTATTCTTCAAGGGCACCCTGAGGGGTGATGGGGGTCTAGAAAGAATTCTTTTACCTCTCCCATTAGGGACCTGTTTTCATTTCCCCCCCATCAGATTGGTCTGCTCCATCTGCCTTATGGCAGGAGAGGCAGGGCTTCGCCGTCTCCTGTTGGACTTCCTTAGGGTTTAAAAGGGTTTGACTCCACCAGTCAATTTCCTTTCACTCTCCCTAATGCACCTTAATCTCTCTACCTCTTCCTTAAGTTCTGTTACCAGGCACAAAAAGTCACTCACCTGCTCGCATCGTACACAGCTACCTCCTACACCATCCTCCGGTACCAACATCAGGCTCAGACACTCAGCACACCCTGAGACCTGGGTGGCTGCATCCTTCTTCGAGGGGAGTGTCTGAGCAAACACTCTCCTAGTATTAACAGCAGTAACGGCTTTTGTTTTTCTGGAAACCATTGTTAGCTTTAAAAAGCACACTCACCTACGAGAAGTGGGAGCTGGTTGTGCCCTGCCTGCTTGAAATGCCTTGCAAATTGCTGTGCCACGCCCCTGTTTGTCTGCTCTTATATAGCCTCCCCTAGCACTTGCTAATGAGCTTGACCCACCCCTCACTCACCTGAATCGGTTCCGAGGAGGAGGCAAGCCTGGGCAAGTCTGGGCAAGCCTGGGCAGCAAATGGCCAAGCAGCTCTCCTGGAGGCTCTTATATAGCCTCCCCTAGCACTTGCTAATGAACGGTATATCCCTCAGCAAGTCTGCAGGTGACACAGACCTGAACAGTACAGGTGACACAGCAGAAGGAAGGGATGCTGTCCAGAAGGACCTGGACAAACTTGAAAAGTGGGACCATGAAAACCTCATGAGATTCAACAAATCCAAATGCAAGGGGGTGCACCTGGGTTGGTCATCGCAGATACAAGTAGTGACTGGGAGATGAACTCATTGAGAGCAGCCCTGCAGAGAAGAACTTGCGGCTTTGGTGGATGAAAAGTTTGACATGAGTTGTCAATGTACACTTGCCGTCCAGAAAGCCAGTCATATTGTGGGCTGCATCTAAAGAAACATTGCCAAGAAAATAAAATGCAGGGGTGCTAGGTGGTGAAAGAAGCTGAGGACAAAGTCCTGCGTAGTGTGAATGCACACTGCATGTGCCACTGGATCTAAATGCAAAAGTAAAATCTCCAGTTCTGTTTTTATTTAGCAGTATAGATATGAAAAATAAAATCATAAGTCAAGACATCTGAGCAGGCAAGAGATGCATCAGGTCAGAAAGTGAAGCAAGAATACAACCCAAAGGCATGAGGATGGGCAGTCTTTATGATTCAAAGTGTAAGTGCTGATGCCATTCCTCTGAGTTGCACAGTCTATTATAGAGGTTACTTTTGTTTAACAAGGAAGAAATCCACAAAGGAAAACTTAACGTCCATGGTATTTAACGTTAAAAAAGCAAGAAAAGAAGCATTTAAATATTGTATGACATTAGGAATAAATTAGCATGGCTATAAAGAAGACTGAAAAGCTCTCCTGAACAGAACTTAAATTCTACCTCTCAGTCAAACCCATGCTGGGCTCCTAATGATACAGTGTCATCCTGATCCTAATTACTTTTACCATGCAAAATTTTTCTCCTCTCCACATAGAATCTGTAGCTAATTTTCGTCTTTTGTGACAGCTGTTAAACACAAAACCCATGAATGTTTTAATTAGTGTTGGTAAAAAAGAAAAAAAATATATACTGAAGCAAACTTTTGTTAAATATATGTTAAAAATAGATTATTGGTATACTGAAAAAGAACCCTTGGCAAATATGACAAGCTTCCATTTTCCTGAAATGCTGTAAAAACATACATTTGGAGAAAGGGGACACAGAGGAGAAAAGGGAACCTTCAAAATTTTCACACTTGGGGTTTATGCAAAAGAGAAATGGAGAAAATTTTTCATTTAATTATTAAACATGAAGTCCTGTGCCACCATGAATGTCTAAAAGGCTTTCTACATCCCACACAGTTCAGTAATGCATCTTATGCTATCGCTGGGAATTCTGCAGCTCAGTACTCAAAAAATCAGGTCTTCTTTCATCTGAACTGTGCTTAGGCCTTGGTATCCCTATTCAGACCCTCCACCTGGGATTGGCATTTAGCAGTCCTGAGCTTCAGAAAGTAAAAGAATTAATCACAATACCCATTTATCTCTAGAGATGCTGCCTCCACCAATTATCTTACTAGAATACTTCGTGGTCAAAAAGTGAAATTCATTAGTTCAGTATTGCTATTCTAGATCTTTTGAGAGACGAAAAACATGAAAGGACATACTAGCTTTAGGTTGAAGATAGTCACTTGCATAGCACATTTTCATTTGTCAAAATGGTAACAATAAAACAAATCCTTCCTGACAGATTTCACATCGTCTTTATAAAGGAATCAAATTATTGATTTTATTTTACTGAGTAGTTTTTAATTTCTGCAAAAGAAATAAGAATCATGCATGCAAGAAATGTGGTTTGAAGACTTAAAACTCACTGAACATTATTCATCTGACCAAGACCTACTACAATGTAGGAGAAGACCCTGTCTGAGCTTGCCACCTTAGCACCCATTGTTATGCAATGAATATTTGGACAGTCTAGATTACAATTCTTCTACCCTGGAGCAGAATTTAGTCAACACAGATGATGGATTTTATTTTAAAATACATTATTGCTTCTTTCCAAAGAAATGGTGATGCACCTTGTTCCTCCTGAAGCAGCAATTCTGCTTGGCTCCTCCACTTGGCTAAGATGAGTACCTACAGCTGTGCGAGGGAAGCACATACAAGCTCTCACACAGTCTCTACCTTTTTAAGGCAGAAAGGCTCTGTATGGGTAAAACAATGAAAACAGGAAATTAAGGAGAGAAATTGAGGCAGAAGAAAGTTTGCTGGGCACAAGACTTGTGTTGTACACACAGTTTATATTAGGTAATAAAGGTTGAAGATGTCCCTGCCCATGGCAGGAGGTGGGAATGAGATGATCTTTAAGGTCTATTCCAACTCAAACCATTCTATGATTCTGTGATTTATTGTATATGCATTGGTCTGCACCTCAGCTTTATCTGAAAAACTCTTTGTGGAAACCTTTACTCATTAATCACAACCCTGGCAAAAAAATTTTTTACTTTACTTTATTTTTTTTACTTTTTTTTGTTAGTGTTTCCTTAGTTTTGTGATTGAATTATTTCAGTGACAATGAAAAAGAGTTTATTGTTGTGACAACTTCAAGATCGTTGTCCATCAACCCAGGGGTTGTTACTGTGATGGTATCCATTTGTGGACTGTCACTACAGGAAGCTGTTCTGTTCCAGCAGTCTGTGGATGAACCCTATAGCTTTGGGGTATGGACTTATTTGTAATTTCCTAGAACATTATGACTGGCTTTCTCTCACATGTATCAATGCAGATATAGCTCAATACCCTTTGTTCCTCCTTTCCTGTTATGTCATTGAGTATATGGCACAGGTTAAAATGAATGGAGATGAGAGCACTGTTGTTGTGAGTCTGAAAATCACAGACACTAAGGGCTTTGATAACAGAGAATACAGATGAAGAATTTATTGTATGGTGATATTTAAATGTGAAGATATTACCAATCCATTTTTTTCCCCATGTCCTACTCTTTTTTGAGGAGAGAACACAACCACGTTCATTTCCTAACAAAATTACTGTCCTTTCAAGTTTTACTTGACTGATAGGTCATGGTGGCACAGCAGTGAAGAAAGAAATTTAAAGCCAATGATTAAATGGCAATCAAACGCCTCAGGGAAAGGTGACAACTTCAGTTCACCTTCTAGATAGACCTAAAAGCTCTCATTCTCATGCAAAAGCTATCTAGCCCTCACCAGGGATAAAAACTTTCCTTCCACTAAAGCACTATGATGGTAGATACTGAGGGCACCTTAGTGACAGAGTCTGACAGCCCAGTAAGGCTACAAAACTTATCAGTCCAGTGCTCAAATAGCCATGCCATTATGGGAGCTGCGCTGGTGCTATGTCATTGTGGAATTAGGGAAGGTTTTTAATTGTTTAAGGAGAGTGATGCAGTCTAAGTGCATTAGCATGTGGTAAGTGAGAAAGTGAAGCATCAGTTTGCTTCTGTGAAAGCATATTTTCAAAATATAAATTACAATAAAAATCTAAGGAATATTTAGAATTTGCTTTACTGTTAAAAAATATTTACAAATGAAAGCAAGCAGAGTTCAGGCAAATTCTTTATTAAGGATTTGTTTCAAAACAGGAGTAGAAAAGCAAAATAGATAACACCTCTGAAACTTTGGTCTGCAAAATTAAGGAACTTTGAATGTTTTTTCCACTCCATGAATTTTGTCTTTTCTTAATAAAGGCAAACAAATTTTATGAGTACAAAACTAGAATTATAAAATTGACATAATTTACAGACAATTCCATATTAGCACCAGACATTAGCAAAACATGTTTTGATACTAAAGCTTTCAGACGTAGCCTTGTTTTTGTAAGACTTTTCCATGCTGAGTTAAGCGTTTGCATGCATTTTATTTATCCCTTTTATAATCTGTCTTAATAATCAAAATACACATTTAGGGAAAAGTGGAAAAACACTTAAGAATCTCGGTATATGTATAGGATTCCCTTAATGGGAAGGATTTTTCTTATAAATAAAGAAGTCAACATGGTCTGAAATACATAGCAAGAAGCTCATAGTGTTTGCTTTTCCTCCTTTTTTTTAAGAGCTTCCATTATCCTTGTTACTAGAAGGCAATGTAGGACAAAATAAAAGATACATTTAATACAAGGCATATTTGTTTGTTTAGAAAAGGTAATATTACTGGTGTCATTATGACTTTAAACACATGATGAATTTTGACTTATAAAAAGCATAAAATACTACTGAACCAAAAGTGCTATATTAACATCTCATATTCCCTTAGATTACTCTAAAAGTCACCTGAGGTGATTTTTTTCCTAGAAATTATCTAATTTCATTAAAATTTCTTATTTAGTGGAAATAATAATAATAAAAAAATACACTCTGTATTGTTCCCTGCTCTTTTGTAATCCAATCCTGCAAACACTTACTAGCCAGCATAACAAGGAATCCTGGTTCTACAGAAGTTGATGACCTTCAGCCATTCCAGGATTTAACCCTGCATAGTGCTTTCCACTAAGAGCAGTTAAAGCACCTCCAATGGAATACTCCCAGTGAGCACTTTGCTGGCAGTGAGTATCTGCATCTTCACATCTTTTTGTGGATTCATGGTTCAGTTTACATTATGTTATCAAAACAATGTCATTCTCTAATACTCTCATTTTAAAAAAAAGAGTTCCTCTTCTTCACAAAGACCATGTTGTTAATTTGTAATTCTGTGGATTCTATCTTGGAAAGCTTTTAGGAATAAGCTAGTCTTGTCCTCCGTCTTGCTCCCCCTGCAAAAAATGGAAAAAGAGACTTAGTTATTACCCATAATTATATATAATATTGTTAAACTATATACTGTATTTACTTGGGAAATAGATGTGAAGAGGAAAGATGAAACCTTGTGCTGAGCATTTCACTCTTGTTCTGGCTAGAAAATTAAAATGATTTCTCAGCTTCTTCATTAATCAAAATAACATAGAATCTGTGAGTTATAAATCCCATGGTGGGGAATTCTGGAGTGCCATTTTCCCAGTGGTAAGACTCAAGAGTTAGATCTCACTTTGATGGTTTTATTCTCATCTGAAACACAGTTTGACTAAAGCACATAATCTAAGTTTTTTCAGATATAAGGAAAAAAACCCTAGAAACCAAATAGTTAACAATACCAAGTATTGTTTGTTTTTTTTTTAAGGCAGAAATGCAACTCTTTCCTTTTGAACTCTGTATTCTTAAGAGTATTTTTTCCTCCCGACTTTTAAAAAAACTTGAGAATAATATACATGCTATAATGTTTACATATATGTTTTGCTTTTACCTTGTGTCCTTCTGCTTGGTTGTGCTTTCCGTACCGGTGCTTCTAGAAAACAGAAATATTGCAGTCAGAAGTTATTTGTTTGAGTTTGTGAATTAAACTCATAAATGTTGGAAACCCATCGCTGTCTTTCGAAGTTTGTTGTTTAAGGTTTTCAGTAAATTAAAAATTTTGTCCCATAGCATGTTGACTTGATCACCTGAAACATGAATGCTTATAAATACAATTCACACATTTCTGTCATGTGCACTCGTACATTACATCTTAGCAACATCCACACTGATCTTTTACAGATGGTCACATGATGTAGGCAGGTGCCAGGATGTTTTGCCTATGCTCTTCATTCAGCAAATGTCGTCTGACACTGTCAGTGAGGTACAAGCTCAGGTTAGTGCACAGCCCAGGACTCCGTTTCAGATTTTGGCAGCAGATGTCCAGGTCTGCTGTATAGACATTATTTGAGGGATTATTTATAAGTCATTTGCTTGAAACTCAACCATCACAAGACATTGGCCACATTTCCAGTTGTGTTTGGGGCTTGATTTGTAACTTTGTGAGTCCACAGTACGATTTAGAGATTCATTCATTTTCTCAGACTTCTGTTTTAAAAGGTAGAGCAGAGCAAGGACTATTGAATAGGTACCACCCTTATTAGCAGGTACATCCATTTTCCAAAACACTGACTCAGTGAAACTTTTTCTCATCAAACCTTGAGACATTTTTTTAAACCAGAAGTCTCCTCACTGGGAGGAAAAAACATTTGATAAACGTGAGAGATTATTCTTCTATTACTGTCACAAAAATGTTACTGAGGTATTTGTCCTCATTTAAAGCCATGAAGTATTGTACTTAACAAGCTGCAGTTGGTTGCCTTTTCATTCTGAGTTGTCTTTTCATCCTATGCATAAATTCATAGCCCTGAGATACAGGCTTGACCTCATTACAGCTAAGGATAAACACGGGGTATCTGCACCCCTGTGACAGGAAAAACTTCTAAGCTCTACACTGCCCTGGCAAGGACAGAATATGGTTCATCCATTATATGCTTTCCATACTTATGTTGTCTGCATATAATTTTGCTGTCAGATAAGCCCCATATTTGAAGATCACACCTGTCTTTCATTTTCAGGCAATAGTAAACTTTCCAGCATGCCTTATACTACTCAACACCGAAGCTATAAGACACTATGGTATACCTTCAGTATTTGGCACAGAATTAAAAATTAAAAAAGTAGAAACATATTTATTTAATTTCATTCTCCAAAAGTCATACTATTTTTTCCTATGAATTTAGTTCAAATACTGTCAGAATAACTTATTCTGCATTATTAAAATTAGAATTAGAAAAGGACATACATACAAATAGAAAAGAAACCCTAACGAAGTTACTTCTTAACTTTGAATAAAGATCCTTAAACTATGATTGTTAAACTTGAAGAACAAATTCCTGGTATAAAGCCAGGCTAAATTGTATATGGCTCCTTTTGGACCTTAACACCATTCATGCTCTTCAAACCCAGGAGCTTTCCTCAATTGCAAACAGGATTAAGGTAGAGAAATTCTGAGACCCTGTGAGACATTTACTCAGCCCAGAGGTTATATTCCCTCCACCCTACCCGCCCCTTCACAACACTGAGGAACCCTCACAGCAGCAGATCACATTAACACCGAGAAGAAATAACTCAAGTTAAAAGCAACTCACGTGGTCTTCTTCTGTGTGTGCTGCTTAAAGAAAATTAATTCTTATGGTGCATGTTCCTTCAAATGTTTTACTTAAGAGTTGTGGTTAGACATTTCCTCTTGTCTACTATGCTTGCCAAATCTTCTAGTTACTTTTAGCCACAAGATAAGCCTCAACATTTTTCACTGCAATGCCAGTGAAAGAATTCTGTTCCAAAACATTATAAAACTCTTCTTGCTAAAATACGGGCTTCAGACCTGGTAAATTTTGTGAATAAATACTGTAAAACCTCACCTGGAATGATCACTTTAGACAAAGCAGGTCTTAGTGATACTGGATTTTTAGACAAACTAACCTTCCAGATGAACTTCCTTGATTTCTCTCTCGATAATCTGTGGCTCTCCCTCAATTACTTTAGTAACCTTGGTGTACTCAGTTCCAGCTACAGTAAGCATCAAAAACAAATGAGTTAAATCTGGCAGAGCATTTTTCCAGATGCAAGGAGCCTTCAGTGTAAACAATGTCATTTTAGGGTGTAGGTGTTGCAGGCTACCATGCTATGAATGCCGTAAGGCATGTTACTCTAGGGCTGAGTCATTCATTGCAATCTTGGTTTAAAGTTTTGTTTCAGCAAAGACTGCTGATTATGATAAGCAGTGCTGGATATTTTATGAGTAGAATTAAAGCCCATATGAAATCATTCTTTTATTTAGACAGTAATAATACATTTGTTTGTGACTGTACTGAAATTTAAACAATTAATAATTTTTCAGTAAAAAATAGGTAATTTTATCTAGCCAAGAGGGCCATAAAGCATTATCACCATTATCACCGACAACCCTGAAGCAGCATGTGTATCTGCTTTTATTGGCTAAACACATGGTAAGGTATTATCATGGCAGCCAAGGGTAACTGACTAGATAAATCATGGAAGAGATAGAGAAAAATCAAATTAAAGCAAGAGACAAATTTGCCCATTTGGTCCATTCTGTAAAGCAGGATGCTTATGCAAACTAACATATAATAGCAAGGAAAAATAGCAAGAATTCAAGAGACAATATTGTCTTTTCCTAATTTCCTAGGGAGAAACTATCTCTTTTCCATACACCTGTAGGGTCACAGAAAGATGTATCTCTACAGATTACATCTATTTAATTGTATACCACTGCAACTGATGATGACTGTAATACAGTTGTAATTGTTAGATTCTGTCATCAGACCTGTTAATTTTGAACAGTTCCACAGATAAAGTTTGATCCTGCTTCATTGTTGCCTGGTTTACACCAATAGAACATAGTGCAGTATATGGAGGAATTTTCTTGCTGCAATTTTTCATTTCCAACTTTTATTTTAAGCATTCAGTCCTGAAATAGGCATCATCAGAAAGCAAATCTTTTCACATAGCTGCGACGCTTTAGATAGGGTAAGATGAAAAACTCTATTGAAGCTTTTATTTCTCTCCAATGATTATAGGCAAATCCTGGCTTAGATCTATAAAACTAAGATTTAGGTGTTTAAAACAGAACAAGGAATTACAGTCACCAGGATTCATAGACATATCTTGTCTTTTTTCTAAGGCTAACTCTGTTATCAATTAACATGGTTTTGTTTGGTGGAAAGCTGTTCAGTTGTTCATCATGAAATTTTTTATTTAACTGAAGTTTAAGTCACATTCACAGCATGGTGCTTCTGAAGGACTACAAGATTTAGGTCAGTGAACATATAGCTGGCTGTAAGCTATTTTACTGGTATACAACTTTGTAACTTAATAAAAAGTGAACATAAAATGAAGTGGATTCAGTTAATTTATGTCAAGAAAAACATCCATTTTTGAGCTTCTGATTCAGGTTTATACTAACATTTACAAAAAATCGCATCACTTGAATTCTTTTTTTTTTATTCCCCATTGCTATTATAGATAGTTCTTCTAATCTACATTAGGCAGAGAATATTCAAAATTCATAGATAAAGATTAATTTCATAAGCAGAAGTTCTTTTACCAGTTTTCTACAGCTACTGGTTATATATTGCCAGAACTGTTAGAGTTAAGAGAGCAAGAAGGAAAGGAAACCATTCCTTGGAATGCTATATTTGAAGAGAATTAAAGTTAATGTCTGGATATCCATCACCTGTAAGCACTGAAAGAAGGATGCTAAGCATGCCTTTAATTATTAACTTGAGGGCAATGAACATTCATTTTTAAAGAACTGATAAGTAAAATGAATTTGGCCTGTTACAATGCTTTCCAGTTCATAAATGTTTTACACAGATTAAAATTTGTTGAGGAAAAAAAAAAAAGTGGAATAAATCTTCATTGCTCCCCTGAGTTTTAATTAGGTAACTTTTTAAAGACTGGAAAAACCCAGATAATTTTTTTCCAAGAGCAATACCATTAAAAAAATTATTAATTGAAGTTTGGTACTTATTTCCATTTCCCAGATATTTGGTACTTAATATATAGTATTCTATTTTTTCTCCCATTAAAATTACACCTTGACTAGGTCAGTCTTTAAAATGTTGAGATCAACATAACCAAGAGCTGTTTCAGTTATCATTACCTGTTGCAAAAAGGTTAGTTATAATACACTGAATTACCTCCCTGCAGAAGTCTTTTGATTTCTTCATCTTCCAGTAAATGACCATCACCTTCAATAAATTTTGTCACCTTGGTAACCTCTGATAGGATATAGGTTATGGCAAAAAAATTGATTTACAGAAAACATTTGACAATCTTACCAAGACCATATTACTGAATTAATCCTATCATAGCACTGTGCTGAATTACAAAATTCATTTGTTATGACATCAGATTCCACATAAACACTGAAAACAACATATTTTATGATAAACATAACATCCTATTTATTAGACCCAGGAAGCCTCAGTTATGGAGCTGTCTGAAATGTGAAGATCAGGGACTTAAACTAAAATGTTACATTTGGACATTTCTGAGGTTGTGAGGTTAATCTCTGGGTAAGATTTTGCAGTATATGAGCATCATTTCTTAACACATGGAATATTAATTCATTAATTACTTAAGCTATATATATCATAAATATATATATATATTAAAGAAAGGAAAGAAAACAAGAATACTAACCTTCTTCAAGAAACTTCTTTAACTTCTCTTCGTTGTCTGAACCACCTGCAGTAATTCTGGTATATTTTATTTCAGGACCTGGAAAAAGATTTGTAAGATAGTGGCTTTAATCAGATGTAACAGGATTGCCCTTTACGTTTTTATTTCCTAATTAATACATATGGTGGTTCCATGGTTAACATGATTAACATCTGCTTATATGAGAACTTTATCTTTCACCATTTTCCAAATTAAGACTTTCAACTAAGTCAATATGTTGCTATAACAATGTCTTTTCCTTACAAGTGCTCTGGCAGACAGAATTTTAATTACAGTGTTCAAACTAATATATAACCAGGGGGATCAAAAACTGTCAACAGAGAATTATATATATCTTGTTCTATGCTTAAATATGCCTCACTCCATCTATCAATTTCTAGTATTCTTAAAGAAATATCTCTGTAGTAGGTCAAATAGAACTGAGCTTGTTTATAGACTTTGAGAGTTACTGTATGAGAAAATCAAGGGATGCAGGTGCACACTAATTTTATCTTACATTAGCTGAATAAAAATGTTTAACTTGTTGATGTCAGATCAAGTTCCCATCTTACAGAGAAACAGAGAATATATTTTTCTAAAATGACTGTCAAAAGAGTCTGGGATGACATGTAAAAGTAGGTATCTACACAATGAACATCTACCTTTGGCCAAACAAAACCTGCCTGGACATATAGAACCTAAAAGTTTAGAAAAAAAATAAAAGACTTCCTTCTAAAACAAGTCTTGCAATAAAAGCCATCTCATTCTGAAATGGTAGTGAGAAGCTTGCAAGAGCAGACACTTAGCAAATATATGGAAATAAAAATTAAATAAAGACAAGTTTTTATAGTTTTGCATTCTGTTAAAATATTGTAGTTTCTGTACATCTGTGTGTAGGGCACACAGCCAGATTTTCAGCCATACACAGACAGCAGGAAGCATTAGGGAAAATACATCTGTCCAGGAAATGCTGTTTAGGCATTAGGAGAGAACTTAAAATGTGTTACTTTTGTATGTAATATTGAACTTTGCTAAGAATTAATAGCTCAGCATAATTTACCTTGAATAATTCTTTCTTCTGTTACTTTTTTCTCTGTCACTTCCACAGGTCGTCCATCTATGATTTTGGTGTATGTTTTAATAATTGGTTCTACAAGGATTTTAAAATTTAAGACAATAATCAAATGATGAACTTTCCAGGGCTCTTTTTGAAATGTGAAAACTGATTGAAGCACACAAGGAAATACCACAGCATACTTTATGAAAAATAAAATATATTCAGAGGAGACCAGAAAGTAATTTTTCTTGAAACTTAGGATGGCCACATGTCTTTTTTCCTTAAACCATTCTAGATGTGAATGTCTCAATAACCCTAGCAAAGCAGAAAGCAAAGTTTACCTCTCTGTCTGATAAAATTGCCTTTCTATCACAGAATCACGAACTACATATTTGATTGCAGGACAATAACCAGCAAATAATTATTAGTCAAGACAGATGTTGCATGCAGAGTATTTCTAACACTGTCTTGACTGTAGCTATGGAACACAGCTAGGCAAAAAAAGCCCAATTTTTTAAAAACATGAGAAGTAACAATTAAATGATGCAATAAAATTACAGTACTTCACGAAGGTGTTATTAAAAACAGAACACCTGTCTAACATGTCACATGTGTCACCTAGATAATGTAGAAATTGATGGGAAATAGTTAATATTTCAAATTTTAACTCATACAAATTGAGTTGCTGAAAGCATACCAACCTCCATGAATCACTTTAGTTATTGTCTCCCCTTCCCTGACTATTTTGAACTCAGGTTCCCCTTCAATTAATTTAGTTATCTGTGTGATAGATGGGTCTGTGACATAGAAAGAAAACAACATGTTACAAATAGTCATAAAATATTTATAGTATCTCATGGGAATGAGATGAAGCTTGCATTTTCTCCTCCTATCCTAAATAAACCAGGTTATTGTAACAGGGGGTTTAAATTTGAGAAGTAATTTGTGGCAATACTGTACAATCTTGTGCTTCCTCACATGCAATCTTAAATTTAGATTCTGTTGCATATTTAGTACTTGCCTTTTTTTTTGTTTAGTTTAGTGTATCTGATATTTTTAACATTTGTTGACAAGTCTCAGGCAAAAAACCAGATCCTCAGCAGCAAAACAGGAGTCTTTTTTCTACATATATTTGCAAGAAGGATATTTTGCCATTTTGCTGGAATCTTAAAGAGATTGGTGCACTAGTGATCAGCATGCAAATTATACATTGGAAATGTTTGTGAAGTTGTTTCTACTAATGGTATAAATATCTAAGAGGAAACTAGGCCTTTTAATCAGTATTCATTGAAGCTTCTTTTTGCTTTTTTTGCAAAGTTTTTTTGCTTTGAGAATTTTTATGTGGTTTTTTTTTTCTTTGTTTTTAAGCTACCTAGACTTGGACAGTGGTCACTCAACTAAAAAAAACCAAAACCACAAAACCAAAACACAAACTTCTGAGATCAGCTGGAATGGCTGTAAGGTTATTTATCAGCATTAATGGCTATCATTAGCATGGGTGAGGTCATCTTGATTTCAACTGCCAAGACAATACTCTTAATCTTGTGCATTTCCTGTAGATCACACTGATCCAAATGTATCTCTGTCTGACAGGCTGAAACAGAAGATAGTAAATAAATTCGGAACATACCATTGATGCAGTCAATTAACAGTAATAATATGGTTCTTCTGTAGTGAGTGTTATGGAAACTCCTTCTACTAAAGAAGCTGCTGTAACATAAACTTCCTTTATTCCCTGCTCAGAGTTAGAAACTTAGCACAGTCCACCTCTTTTATATTCCTTAAATATCTCTCAGATATCTTTATATGATTTTATGTACAAGTCGATGTTGCATTGAATTTTTTAAATAATTACTGATCGAGATTTAACAACAGCTTTTACATATGTTTGCCAGATGTAAATTGTTGAAAATGGTCAATTCAAGCTAACTAGTATCCCTCAATAGTAACCAAAGTATACCTTTTTTTTTTTCTTTTGTAGCAACAGCACATAGTTGGATAAATTCAAATTTAGGGAAAAATAATTAATTTATTTACTGCAGATGAGAAAATATGATGGGATCATAAAGATTCCCAGTTTTTATAGACCTCTATTCACCTACTCTGGTTTCTAAATAGCTGAATAAGCCATTGCTTCTTTTATTTTCTAACACATCTGGATGAAAAACATTCATAAATATTTTAAAGAAACATTCTTAAAGATTCAGTCTCATGCTTCTGTTTTAAACTCAGAGGCATTTTTTGCATGTTGAGACTCCATTAAATACCAATATACATTGATACAAGTGATATAAATTAATTATAAATATAAATTACATCATGTCAAAGGTATATTTATTAATCTTTACAAATATTTTTTTATTTTTATATTTCTAAATTACTGTATCTTCTCATGTGATTGATACAGCAGATATATGCAAACCAAAAGGTGAAGCTATAGCTTTTTATATTGTCTAATCCAGGAACAATCCTTTGAATTCAATCTATTGGTTTCAATCAGATTTAACTCTTTACATCTCTTTAATCTTTTGTATCCCATACATGCCTATGTATGGACAATGGAAGCACAACACACTGACAGGAAAAAGGAGACATCACCCTCTAAACTTAGTGGGGAGAGATGTCACTTTTTAAATGGAAATCTCCTTTCCATAGAACTTCCTGGCAAAACTCAACAGGCGCTTTGCCAGTTTTTATCTACAGAACAGTTGAGGGTTTATGTGGTTCTGATGTGAGCTGCTGCTAACTACTATTACTACTAGTAAGCTCAGATGAGCCACAACTGGCTTTATTTGGTCTATCTATATCTGATTTATCACTGGACAGAGAGATCACTCCTTGGAGTGTGTCCCAAAGCAGAAACACTGTACTGACGATGAAAAGGAGTAGTCCTTCAATATTCACTAATTTCTAAAGTTATTTGTTTCTCTTAGGCGAAGAAAGCTTAGTTCTACATTTGACTATAAAAGTGCTCAGACATTTCATTTTTTTCTTTAAGTGACATATTTAGTTTCAGTTAACTTTCAACTTCTAAACATAATGTAAATCTACTAAAGTATATACTCTGGATTTAAGAGAGGAATAGGTACTTTCCTAGAGTGATTCACCCTCATCACAGGAAGATTTCAAAAATGCCTTGGAAGAATTATCATGTGAAATTAACCTATCCATTCTGGATCTGATTTAATGCTGGAGGCTAGGCAACAAAGATCAGCATATATGCTAGATGGTCTCTAATCCTAAATGGGATGAAGCAGACAAGTTGCTGAAAATGTAAGGACATGAAATCCTCCCAGAAACACAGATTAAGCAGTCTGGATAAAATTCTTTGCATGACATTTTTAACTGCCTTTCTCATTTAAGCTCAAACAAATTCCCTTTGAGCATTTTTATTTATTTGGGAAGCTGGATCTCATTAGCTTTAGTTAAGTTATAAATCACAAGTGATTTTAGCAGTCCCATCCCCACATTTTTTTCTTTTCAGTCCCACCACTAAGTGGTTAGGCTTTTGTCTTCAGAAATTAAAAAGAAAGTTTGGCTAAATATAATTTTCAGACATCTGACAGATATTGGTAGTTAGAACTGATTGAAAATCATAGAAAAATGAACCCATGTTTTTTGAAAGTATAAGAAACATGTCTACTTAATTTTTAAAAATAACTGCTTTAATGGAAAAAAAAAAAAAGAGTGTTGAAAAAACCTCACTAGTAATAAAGGAATTTTTTTCAAAAAAAATCATTTAAAAGTATTTTTAAATGCCTTTAGAAAAAGGAGAAAATCCATTTGGGAGAACAACTGTGGGTAATCTTTTTATACAAAATATTTCAGTCAGTTCTAATTGCAATATTTGTATCTTTGCTTTTCCAGCAAAGTCTTTAGCATCCTGGACTTGATATGTACATAATGCATCCCGTTAAAGAAATATATACAATATATATTCTGAATATGCATATGAACATATGCAGAAATATATATAACAAGGGCCTCATTTACCTTCCTTTGTGATGATAGGCTGGACGTTGCTTTCAATTATGTTAATTTCTGAAAATATAGAAAATGGAATATACAGTACATTCCATTCTTACAATTTCTTTATGGGAATGATCAGTTGGATTTGGTCTGCTCATAAGGATGTGGATAAAATCATAATTATTAATGGGTAGAAAAGTAACTCAAAAGGATCTCCATTGTAATTATGAAATAATGATGATGCATGCAAGTCACTTGCAGACAGAATCTACCGCTGTGCCATTTGCCTTTGTTTGTGCCTTATGAAACTCACCGGTCACAAGACCTATGCTAAATACATAATAATAATGGCTTGTACAATTACCTGCACAAAGATTTGCACAAATTGCTGACATATCTTAAATGTGAATATTACCCTCTTCTTTTAGGGAGCTGATCTGGTAAGCAGAGGAAACGCTCTGGTGTTCAGAATTATAGATAGAACATCATAGAGAATATGCATGTGGTGCCCTTAGGAGATCAAGTTGTCCCTCTACACCTAGGACAGACTCAAGCATTCATTGACTATCCCTTATAGTTATTTGACTCATATTCATTCACTGGTAGAGAAGTCCTCACTGGTAGAGGTCCCAGCCTTCCTATTCCCACACTCACCTAAATCAACAACTATAGCTTTCTTGATGTCCAGCATTGACCTCCCTTGCTTCATTTTAGAGGCATCGCTTCTTGTGCTGCTCTCACTGGCCATGGGAGGTAGAATATCTCAAGTTGGCAGAGACCAATAATGATCAACAAGTCCAACTCCCTTCTTCTCAAAGGACCACCTAAGACTAAACCATATGACTAAGCGTGTTGTCCAGAAGATCCTTGAACTCTATCAGGCTTGGTGCTGTGAACGCTTTCCTGGGAAGCTTGTTCCAGTGACCAACCAGCCTCTGGGTGAAGAACCTTTTCCTAATGTCCAGTCTGATTTTCCCTGATGCAGCTTGATTCCATTTCCTCATGTCCTGTCATTGGTCACCAGAGGGAGGAGACCAGCATGTCCCCCTCTGCTGCCCTTCTTGGGGAAGGTGCAGGCTGCCATGAGATCACTCACTGCTCAGCAATGAAGTCACCCTTCAGCCTTCTCTTATCCAAACTGAATAAGCCAAGTGACCTCATCCACTCTTTATAAGTCTTGACCTCAAGATCTTTCACCACCTTGGTCACCCTCCTCTGGACACTGGGCAGAGGAGGGATATCAAGAGTTTGATGCCTTTCTTATATTGTGCTGCCCAAAACTGTATCGGTGCAGAGCAGTGTGTAACAATCACCTCCCTCAAATGGCTGGAGATGCTGTGCCCGATGCCCCTGAGGACACAGTTGGCCGTCCTGGCTGCCAGGGCACTGCTGACTCACATTCAACTTGTCATGAAAGTAGATTATTCCCTTTTTTTTATTCCAGGAGTTTTTTTAACTTCAATATGTCCATTCTCAACTTGTAAAAGCCTAACGTGATGGTTTTAATTTCTACTGTGAAATGTTAGTAGAACCCCACAGAAATTTTATCAACTGTCTAGATTCACATTGCTTCACAAGCCAAAGTTTCAGCATAATCTTTGTCTTCTAAGAGTTTGTTTCAACAGGTACTACTTTCTATGAAGAAACTAAATGTAAACACTGAGAAAGGCTGCAAGAGAGCAAAAAGGAAACCTTTTTTATATTTACTCCCTAAAGAGAAAATAGTTAGAACAACTGTCTCCCATACAAGCATCACACTTGCACATCTGGGAAACAGGTGGAACCCATACACTCTGTCCCTCTGGAAGTATTTATGAAAAAGGAAGGATCTCAGTGCACAGTTTGGTCAATGTTGATTCTTGGAGAGAGAGGCAATGCAACTCTGCTGGGCATCAAACACTGAACCTTGGCTAAAAACTGAAAAACAATCTTTTCCGTATGTATCTTGCCTACCCCAAAGAGTCTGAACAGCTTACTTCAGGGTTATTTTCCAGTCACACATCTGGAAAGGGAAAAAATACATACGGTCGCACAACAGCCAGAAACATTCTGCTTTGAGTCTTTCTCTTCTTTTGCTTCATCAGCACATCTTACTTTCCCAGAAATCACTTTCTTTCGAAAAAGAGATGTACAATTCCAAATTGGAATTGGCAACGTCTAAAATGAATTCTCAAACCCATCTGGAAGTATTTAAAATGAACTTACTGTAAAACGTCAGTGGAATCTCTTTGAAGGTGCTGTCACGAACAAACTATAAAGACAGAAAAGTAATTGTAAAATTTAAGAGAAGTAGCACTTGCATTACAGTTTCCTAGTGAGTGGGAGTAGGATTCACTGCTTCATTGACCTAAAAGTTATGTGGTGCTATTTGTCTGGGTTCTCTCATTCATTGCTGAGGGACGATGTAGTCTTAAGAGCATAGCCGAGATAGATATGGATGCCTAATTTTCCTCACAGGTTATTGATGCTGGTGGCTTTAATGACATAAAAATTTGGCCACTCAATACGCTTTCTAAAGAGGAATTGCCTCAAGGATTTAGAAGTGATTTATTTTCCAAGAGTGATAAATTGTACCTGAACAAAGAGCAGATTTGGGTAAGTTCACACTGGAGTTATCTAAATGCAAATATTCTACTGCTATTTGGCATTGAAAAGCATCAGTTCTAACTATCGAGTGCAGTGTATGATTTGTGATTATATTTGGGTAATTGGGAGCTATTGAATTCATTGTCTGCTGAAGAAAGGACTAGAGAATCACTTATGAATTATAATGTAAACAGTTTCCCAGATCCTGCCATAAATACAAATGGATAATTACTGAAAGAGTACCTTAATCTGAATGTACTTAATCAGCTTCTTCAGGATTGTGAGCAGCTGATCATTTCCAACAGGCAGATCTGACAAAAGAAATAGGCATGTAAGAGGAAGTATACAACTGTGTGCATTTTACTTTCATTTACAGTGATCAGGAGATGTAATCACTCTCAAACACTCACACAAGAATGTACTTGTATATATATTGTATATACATTCTTTCATATCTGTGGAAAAGTCTATGGCTAGTCATGTCTTCCATATGTTTGACTTTCATAGAATTTGAACAAACTGCCATGGTTTCAAGTGGGAGGTTTTTCCACAAAATGAGCAGTGAGGTAAGTTTTCTCTTTCATATCCACATAAGAATTTTATCTTTAAGTTAATTAACTTTTTAAAGTAATTTCAGCTACATAAGATGTAAATAGATTTAAAGGATTGTGTATAAATTCCGTGAAATAATACTCACCTGCTGGATATAGGAGTTTGTCAATGACGTGAATGACACCATTTGTTGCCATGAGATCAGATTCTCTTGATTTCAGTTCATTAACCAGAAGAGTATCATTCACCTGATAAAGCATCAAAAGAGAACTCAAGTTACCAGGGACATTAAAAAACAACCCCAAACCCTACTATAACATTTGGAGTAGTACATCCCACTCTGTAATGTGGATAGACATGGAATGTCAAATTACTGTTACAAGACTGTAGCAGGGAGATTATTTCTATGCTTAACTGTTTTCAAGTAGAGTTTCCCTCCTTGGATGGTTTTAAGAATATTTGTCACACCAGGCTCAAAGCCACTTCCAATGAAAACTCCTTGTGTCAAGTGGTAAAGAAGAATATTCCTGAGAGCATTTTTGTCTCCTATATAAAAAAGAAAAAAAGGAAGGAATAAAAATTAAATGATAAGGAATAGTTCTTTCTGGAAATTCTAAGGATTCATACAGGCTTGAGCTGGAATTACACATAATATGAATGAAAATACCATGAACACATACAATTTGTACCTGTTTAAATGGTGATAAATGTAAACAACCCACCCATATGACAAAAAGGCACTCAGAACATAATCATAAAGGTCTTATGAGAAACCGTATGCAAAAGAACAGAAAAGCAGTCCATTGAGCAGTTAGAAGGGCTGGTTTTGTCTGTTCTTACAGAGAACAGATGCAGCTTGGAGAAGTTGAGAAAGGGGAAAACCACTCAATTTTAGGGATGATTTCCGTATTTCAAAATTTGACATTCTTGTTTGGGATGAAGAGAACAAAAAATCCAACATTTTCAAGACTGTCTTAAAATGCAAATGAATCCTGGATCCCAAGCTAATGTCCTGGTAGGGCTCCCTGGTGCTGTGGATCCATGAAGGTTGAAAGGCATAGGATGGGCTGTAAAAAACCCCATAATGTCCTCAGGAGACAGGGCACCAAGCAGAACAGCTTTAAAACACATCTTTTTACCATTACATGGAATATGGACCATTCTAAGTTTAATACTGGCATTACACACTGATATTGATTGCTATTAGGAGCTTCAGTCTTGATAAAAAAGGAATAAAAATCCTATCTGGTCTTTTTTTTTTTTTTTTCCTGGTGTCTCTTTCAGGGAATACCTTTTTTTTTCCCCCCGTGTTTTGCTCTAATTACTGATAGTATTGTAATTTACTTTCTTACTGAAATGAAATTAAATGATATTTTTATTCCTATTAAAATTATCTGAGATTTTGTGACTGGACCATTCATAGATAACATCAAGTTACATGCAAAGCCTAAATATGGCCACTCCAAAGATGTTCTCACACACTATCAGTCTGTGATAATCTGTTAAAATAATCTTTGTGTCCTTCTTACAGATTAACAAAGTATTTCTTTATATTCCTTAAAAAATTATATATTTTAAAGTTTAATTTTAATGGAGAAAGCAACATATTGTCTTAAAAGAACATCAAGACTTCTAGAAAGTAAATTGACAAAAAAATAGACATCCTGCTGCAAAAAAAAAATTATCAGGGCCAGGGAAAGTGAAATAAACTGAGTCACAATGATAGGAAAAGATGATACATAAAGCCCCTTGAAAAGTAGAATGGCAAATATAACTTTATTTTTAACTAAAATATTAATCCAAAATTACATTGGCCTTGACTACCACTTCAAGTTGTGAACTGAAGACGAAAAACAATGAAGCTCATAAACTCAAGCTTAGTTAATGAAGTAACTACATAGTATAATACAAACAGAACAACGGCATTTATCCAGTTGCTTTGGTTCACAGCCTCATGACACGCTTCATTTCCTTTTATAGCTACCTAATAAGAGTCATCTAGGCTCTCTGTTAATTTACTATTAGTCACTAGAGGCACACCACAATAGAAGGCAACTTAGACCACTACCATAACTTTAAATGGCTGAAGAGATAATTTAAATTCCCTGTGCTTCATTACTGAGTTAAAGGCTGCAAAAGCTGGGGTTGCTGTTTATCAATGCTCTGAACAATAGTCTTCCAAGTAATTAAGAATTCATGGGGTTTGACTCCATGTCTTTAAGCTTTCATCTGAGAAGTACAGGAATGGAAAATATGACTGACCTGGATGTGGCAACCGCTCCTCCTGCCTTGTGCACAGGCCACATTCACATTACTTTTAAATAAACTAAAATTATTTATAGTGCTGTGGCCACAGTCTACCCCTCCAGTCAGAAATTCTGCAGGAGATTTGAAGTATTCACTGTGCATTTCTTCCCTTATGGAAAGAAAGCATGACAATAAATAAACTAGTTTTAAATCTTGCAAAAAATCTGTAACATTCCAGAGTTTGGAAGCGTTAGATGGAAAAAATTTACATGCATTGGCATGTAGCAAAAGATGCTCAATATTTAACTTGGAGAGCAGAGGTGCTATTAGAGATCACTGGGTGGAAACAAAGGTGAGGAAAGATAGCAGAAGTCAATACTAAATATCTTTTAATGCAATGATTACAACTAGAAAAGAAATATGATAGAACAGAATTTGCAGGTTAAAAAAGCTATTAGCAAGGCTGAATGATGACAAGTTGAGGGTAATGAAGATTCTAACTTAGAAGGTAGTAAGACCACGGAGTAAGATAATAAGGAGTGAAGTTTAAATGTGGGTTAGATGCTTCTTTCCAAAAAGATATTTTCTCTACCCCCAAGAAGGAAATGCAATTAACTGCTCTATGCAAAAGGTAAACTGTTTCATCAGGTAGCCTCTGTGTAAGAAGTGCATAAGTTTCCTTTCCAATCGATTTGACCCTTGCTTATAATTCAAGTTTTCTTATGTTACTTACTTATCAATATATCCTTATCGTCATCAGTCAAACCTTTAAAGGCATCATTAGTTGGAACAAAGAGAGTCCATTCTCCAGGCCGTGACAGAACATCATCTAAATCTGCAGCTTTCACCAGGCTGAGGAAAATGCTGTTTGCAATAAAGAGACAAACCACAAATATATTTTGTTAAAATGTAGTAACTATAATTGAGTCCAGGCACCTAGTTCCCTCATTTTTTTCTGATAGTACATCAATCTTCAAACTCTTTAACTATTCACCAGAAAATAAGATAGTGGAGGAGGAAAATGAGAAAAAAAACCAGGATAATAAAAGAAGACAGTCTTAAGAATAGCAGAAAGTGGATGAAGGATTTGAAAAAAAGAAATATTGGGAGTCTGGATCACAGTAGGATTCATCAAGTAAAAACATCACAGATCAAAGTGATGAAAGGAGGATGTAAAGGTTAGTTGCTCTCTAGGAGTACTGAGATACTTGCAGGAAAGGAATAAAAAAACATACTAGAAGGTATGCTGCACCCATATGGAATAGTACCACCCAATAATTAAAACTCCAGGCTCCACAGCACATGTAGCTCTGGATATGTCATCCAATTCCTTTTGTCCTCTTACTCCTTTCATTCTGGCATCTTATTGACTTCCATGTGCCATTAGCAACCATTCTAACATAGAATATGGGAGCCTTTCCAACACATAGCTGGAGAACACTTTTTTTCAACCACACGCTTTTTTTATTTTGAGTAGGCAATAAGCCCTTCAATGCCCTCCTTGCCCTCTAAAATCCAACTACTCACAAACTCAGTATACAACTTTTTCTCAGACCAGCTGTGCTGCATATACAGGTACACTCTGCAGGAAATTCTTAGTGCTGTCAAAACTGAAACTCACCTAAATCGCTTATCATTTCTTAGCATTTCGTGCAATGTCTTTTCTGCTGGATTGATGATCTGTCTGAAGATGTGAATAAAACCATTTCTTCCTTCTTTGCTTCCTCTGACCATGCATGAATTTTCAATGCATACAGCCTTATTGAAGGAGAAAGAAGCATAGCTATTTCCACAATGTTAAAAATAACATTTGAGTATTTCCTACAGTAAAATTGCATGTTCTTACCAGGAAATTGGGTATTGCTTGAGAAAGTAAAAGTAGCAAAACCTAGAGTAAAATAACATGGTGCAAGTATTTTGGAACTTGAATTTTGTTTCCCTTGACAATGCTCTTAATTAGTTCTAAAACTAGCCTTAAACATTTGTAATCAGTGAAGTGCCAAATCCTGTTATGTTTTCCCAAAGAGTTTTCCATGCTAACAAAATTCCATTTATGAAATATCAGATTTTATTTTTTTCCTATCTTAAAAGTTTAAAGATTTTTGCTAGATAGTTGTAATGGTAAATGCTGGGGGTTTCATTCAGCTTTGTCTTTTATTGACTCTCCATTTTCATAGTTGGCATATGTATTGTTAGAAGGCCCCGTTCACTTACTGTGCGATAAACAAAGACTCTAAGTAGTTTTCCTCCAATTGTTTCCAGCTCTTGTCCGTTGTAGAGTTCATTGAGCCCAACTTTCACTTTTATAATGTGATTCTGCAGGATTGTTCTAAGAAGACGTTGATCCAGCTTTAAGGTGTCATCTACAAAGTCATTTAGGTATCAATATATAGCAACATATATAATGAATTTTCATTGAGATAAAGTTAAAAGACTATGGAAATACAGAATCTTTCTTTAAAATGCATGAGTTAAAGCTTGGACAGATCTGTGTACACAGAAAATGAATTAAGTAGTTCCTGCAAATGCCCATTCCTTAAATTGAGTCATGAACTTTTGACATAGCCCTGATTAATTATTATAACTAATATGGCTGATGATTTATGTGTGGATCTAATCCATCTTCTGAATTCCTGCTACAGTTCTTATTAGAATTATTCTTTTCTGCATGCGCACCTTAAAACCTATCCAGATTTGCTTCTGTGGTGGTGAGTTAACACTCAAATTCTTTGGGGAAAGCCGAGATGCCCATGTGGTCACCTCAGCAAATGTGCAAACACCTGTTTTATAGCATATTTATATTAGTTTCTCTCTGTTTTAATGTACTGGAGAATAGTAACTTTCTTGTATGTCCTATTTTTGGCTGGGATAGAGTTAATTTTCTTCTACTAGGTTCTGTCATGCTGTGTTCTGGATTTAGTATGAGAGTAATATTGGTAACACACTGATGTTTTTGGTTGTTGCTAAGTAGTGCTTATGCAAAATAAAAAGGATATCTCAGCGTTTCTTGCTCTGCCAGCAAACAGGTGCACAAGAAGCTGGAGGGAGCATATCCAGGACAGATGACCTTAACTAGCCAAAGGGATATTCCATACCATAGAAAGTCATGCCCAGTATAAACAGGGGGGAGCTGGTCAGGAGGGGTCAGTCACTGACTGGGCATCAGTGAGCAGGTGGGGAGCAATTGTATAGTGTGTAACTTGTTTCTCTTGGGTTTTAATTACATCTTTATTATTAAATTGTTTTTATCTCAATCTATGAGGTTTTTTACTTTTTTTTTTTTTTTAATTACTCTGATTCTCTTCCCCATCCCAGTGAAGGGTGAAGAGGGAATGATTGAGTGGCTGTGAGGTACTTAGTTGATGGCTGGAGTTAAACCACAACATTGTATAAATTTTTTGAGACCAAAAAATTTGTGAATCTAATGGAAGCAATGCAAAGATTAAGGGAACCGACAGTTCATTAATACCTTTCTGCTCCCACAGAACCTGTCTGTGCATATTCTGTGTCTTACTTTAGTGATACTATTTCCATTAGCAAATGATATGACTGAAACCAAGCTGTGCAGTCTGGTGGTTAGGCTTGCTTTGCCTTTCTGCATGGTATGTAATTTAAAAGGATGAAGTATCTCTATTTGGCTATGGCACTCCTTTTGTAAGACTTACAACAAGTGCTGGAAGTGATTTGGAAAACTGTCAGGGTAGCAGACATTCTTGTTTATTTTGACAATCTTTTAGTGCTACTAACCTGAGAAAGCACCATTCAGAGGTGCCAGGAGAGTGTATTGGCCTTCTGGTCTCAGAGAAGATGCCAGACCTAGCTGTGCCACCAGGTCAGTAAAAGTAGTCTGCTGGGCACCCCCAAGCTCAATGACTTGTTTGGCTGCAAATAAGGGAATAAGAAAAGGTATTTTAACACATAATTTCTTCCTATTCCTGATTTGTATTCTCCATGTTTATCCATAACTATTTATCTGAGAGAATCTAGGTAAGATTGCAGAAAGTATCTTCAGGGCAAGAAGTTTTTTATACACATCACTGACCAGAATCAGGAATTAGCACTTGATCAATGAGATGGATAACGCCGTTGCTTGTCACAATATCTTTGCGCTTCACCATTTTCACTCCATTCACAGTCAGGCTTTCACCATCACAACCAATTTCAACAGTATTTCCTTCCAAGGTTTCATAGACAGCTCCACCTGTGATAGCTTCAGAGCACTGGAGAGTATTTAACACGTGGAATTTCACAAGAGCTGCAAAGAAAAGAGCAGGAAGTTCATAAGTGTGTTTGGACACATATTCGTATACCTATAGTTCACATATAGGTATGGGATAAATTATTACATCTATACAATTTTTGGTAGTATACTAGCTTAGCTAGAATATTTGCACACTTTTTTTAAAGTTATTGATATTATACTATAGGCCTCTAAAAAACATTCATGGCCAGAAATATTTGGCAGTCCTTATGTTATGGAAACTCTACTGGTTATGCTGCAACCTGCATGTAGCAGAGTCGTGACTGCTGATGATATGTTCCAAAAGGACCTATGGGTACAGAGCTCCATAGGCTATGCAAAGGTATGAGAAAACCACACACTTAGAAAGCCTTGTGTTTATAGAGGCAGGAATGTCTCTCAGAACTGAACTACTAGGAACATCAATATGCCTATATTTTCCCTGTTCCCTTTAAACTATTCCCTTTAAACTGAAACTAAGTTTTCAGTGGCTTTGAATCCTTAGGGCTACCAGAAAAATCAGAGACAGAAGAAATAACTTCTCCTAGAAAGATGAAAGTAGAGGTGCCTAATTTCAGAGCCACTAAGATAATGTAGTTTCTATCTCTTATAGAATCATAGAATAGATTGGGTTGGAAAAGACCTCCAAGATCATCACGTCCAACCCCTGATCCAACTCCAGTTACTGTATCATGGCACTAAGGGCCACGTCCAATCTCTGTTTAGAAACCTCCAGGGATGGTGAATCCACCACCTCTCTGGGCAGGCCATTCCACTCATCTGTATTTCTCATTCACAAAAAGCTTACATACCTTCAGAAGCCACCTTGTCACCCATGATCCTTTCTAAAACTCCCCTTGGAAGTCTCTCAAAAGCTTCATTAGTAGGAGCAAACAGTGTATAATGACCAGGCCTTCCAAGAATATCCATGACATCTGATGTAATGGCAGCAGCCTAAAAAATAATTGTTTCTTTTTATTCTGATTATTTAAAATATTACCAAAATACATTATCTGTCTAGTTTCCCCTCATGCCCACAGGTACTTTAGTGATAGACCAGGATCAGTTTTATAGAAACATGAAAAACTGAATGGACAAAAAGGGTTTCTTTTTCAACCGAAGCACCAGACACTGTAACTTTATGCTCACGTTTCATTGCCTCAGTGTTTGAAGAGAAGAGGCCCTTTATGTACAGGGACACACTCCATTGTATTGATATGGTCTTCTTTGATCCATAAAAGAGAAGAAGCAGGCTCCTTATGTAAAATACACTTTGCCTTTTTATAAAGTTAGATTTGCAATATTAGCTGGAGTTCTTAATTCAATTTACTGAAGTAACCCCTCGTACTTAGAGGTGTGATAAAAAAATAGAAAATAAATGAGAAAAGTAAAAAAACAAAGCTAAAAAAAAAATCTTTTATTTTTGTCCACTTACTCTAAGAGATGAAAGATCATCCTCGACTTCAATGAAATCTTGAATGGTATTTCCAACAGCCGTCAGGACACGATCAATGACATGGACAACGCCATTGGTAGCAATCTGATTGCCATGGATGATCCTGGCACAGTTAACAGTAACAACCTATATTTGAAGAATCAAGTAGTAGAAGATTAAGTATTATTTTGTTCATAAACATGGACCTTGATTCTTCTAAACTGAAAATGTATATATTGTACATTGTGTATTCACTGTTAGTATTTCAGCTGGATGTTTTAAAAATTTAAAGTAAAATTTTGCAAGATTTGAAAGTCTGGCTAATCTTCTGGAAAGGCAGCAGCAGACTTATTCAGGTTATGTTGATTTCATATTCATTTTATTTTTCATTGCAATCATTCTGATTTTTTTTCCATATCTGGTTAATATGGTGATTGTATTGGTTTTTACTGATGTAATCTGCAGACCAACATAAATATTTTGATAAACATTTTGATGCATTTAAGGCAACAAAGACAAGTGACTTAACTGGGAGTTTTCTAGCATTTATAAAAATTATATTTTTTTCTACACAAGTAATGGATATGTGTTTTCTAAAATCTTAAATGTTCTTATCATGTATTCAAATTCAAATAAAATATCTGATTTAATATTATTTAGCAAACACATGAAGATTAATACTAGATTTTGCTGTCAAATTTACTATGATCATATATTTTGTCCACAAAAGGCCAAAATCTTTATCTTCATCTTTATGAAGAAAGTTTTTTCTTGTTTGAACTTTGATTTCTAAACAGCAAGCAGCACAAGTTTATTTACTCTTTCTTAGTGATTTGTCTAAACGGCAGTCAAAATTTCTTCAAGAGAAAATTTATTTATTTTTGCCAGTGGCAACTGACTTGCCGGATGTCAAACTTTCCATAACTTATTTTCTGAGCTATATAAGGAAATAAAGGAAATAAAGGCTATAACTGAATAAATATATTAGAGGAAAAAAAGAAAATAGACTTACCCCATTAGGATAATGGTTAATAAGCAATTTCTGGCCGTTATACATAGACACCAGAGTCAAGCCATTTTTAAGATCCTTTGTCAACATGCGCTTATTTAGCATGTGGTGGTGGAGAGCATTATACAGTTCAATATTTACATTGTCAACCAAATTCCTGTGAATTTCCTGAAGAAGAAAGGAATTTAATTAATTAGAAGCTTTGAAACATTTTTCCACTCGGAAAAGTTGTACATATTGTTTTGCCTTAATTTTCAACATTTTTAAGGAAACACAATTTTGAGGCCTATTAACTGGCTCTACTGAAATGATCCTTCAGTCTGGTTAGCTCACAAAAGGAAGACAAAAGGCTTCATCACAGACAAGTCATTAGAGGAGCTTTTATTCAATATTTATTTAATTAAAACCATTACTAAAAGAAGGACACCTGAATCACTGACAGTACACAACTAGACATCATGCAGCTGCTGGAATTCCTAAAGGTTTCCCCAAAACTATGCTAATAACACTAACAATATTATTATTTGTCATCCAAGTGCTTAAATAAGAGACAAATATGATGGCTTAGTACTCCTGAAACTAAACTCAGCCACTCTAGCTTCAGAAATGTATGTTAAACATGCAAATTATTTCATTATACTTTGCACATTATACTTCTATGTCTAAAATATCAATATTGTTTCTAATCTACTTTATCATATACTAGGTTCGGTTAAAACATTAGTTGAAGTAGAAACACACTTTAACTCATACACAAACCCACACTTACTGAATTTAATTGCTCCCAGGCTTCATTGCTTGGTGCAAAGAAAGTGAATGATCCTCGTCCCTCAATCTCTTCTCTCAGCTTTGATATGTCAGAGTACTGCTGTGTGGAGGTAGCTCCCACAATACCAAGTGTACCATATACATGATCAATAGGAGCAACTAAAATAAACATGAAATAAGAATGCCGTAAACTCTTCAGTCACCCGGGTTCTCATGATCAAACTTATTTTGTTTCTTTTGGTTGGACAATTGTTCTAAAACCTTTTAAATCAATATTAAACAATGTTCTTGGATTTAAAATTCCATTGTCAACATACTCAAAAATCATCTAAACACATCTGCTTGTTATTTTTTTTTTTGTGTTGCTTAATGAAAAAGTATATCAAATAATACTGAATATTGTAAGGTTTTCTTTAGAAGAGCTCTTGTGCTTTTTACTAGCCCAACAAGAAATGGGAGGCTATCCATTGAATATAGGAGTAAATTCCATCACAAAACTTTCAATGGAGGTGGTCTCCTTTGGTCATGATGGACAAAAATTCATCTTGAGAAGCCTTTTGCTCTTCTTCTTCTTCTGGTTTGTGATCATATTGATTCATCCAGAGATTAATAATGGCCATAGTCTCACAGTTAAAACACTGCTACATGAGAACAGTATTCACCTCTCCTTATTTTAGGCATCTAGAAGTGAGACATTTGCGTGCAATCTAGTTGTTCTTGGCTCTCTCTATGGTTATGGAGAGGAGTAGGCAATTCTAGAGTGTGACTGACTTCATCCTAATGTAAGAATCTGAAGGGAGATTAATTCATCTAAACAAACTTTACTCCACACTACTGAATGTAAAAGGATTACTTCAGATATAGGGATCAAAGCTATGAAATATATTCCTTCTCACATTACTCTCTCCAGCTGAAATTAATTTTATTTATGTAAAACAGAAAAGTATAAATAGGAGAAATCAAGAATTCCTGTCTTCATTTTCACTCCTTCTTAGTTAAAGACTTTTCAATTAAATTAGATTGAAGTCTTTTCAGGAAAAGGAATAATTTAGATATGCCACATCTGGTTTTCTGACCTCACTGGTAAGCCTTAGGGTATTCTGGGATTTGATGGCAATAGGAATAAAAGTTCTTTGGCTTTGGGAACTGAAGACACTAGCATTCCTCACCAATCCAGCATCTGGAAGGAGCTGCATCCAGCATCTGGAAGAGAAAATCAACCTAAACTCCATGATCAAGTTCAGTGTTTGCTGATATTTAACTGTGTTGACCATATACAAATGAGGCTGTCTGTTCTCAGGCAATAATTCTGAAAAAGAGCCAATAATTTCTCAAGATGACCACCTTTGAAAATCTCTGGTGTTGTACTGCTTCCCATATACTGATTTATCCATATGAATGAAAGCTTGTACCTGCAGGACATCCTCTTGTACCATCCATCTTCATATAGCCAGGACAGCACTCATATAGGACAGTTCTATGTGATAAAGACAAAAGCTAAGTTAAATATTATACAGGAGAAGCACATACTAATTTTAGCTAAGTCTAATTTTTTTCTTTTATTATTAATTTTTCATTACAAAGTACATGCTCTCCAGATATTCATCCTTTTTTAATCATTCAGCCTTTTCTGTATTGACAACAAATTGATCGTATTTTACTAAATTTAAAACTTTTGAATTTACAGAATGACTGCCATCATTAAAGTACTAGGAAGGAACATGTGAGGGCATGTAGAACTCATGCAGAGTTACTAAAAGATGATGTGACTAGAACAGCAGTTGAAGAAAATTAATTTATCTATTCTAGGTTGAAAAGATTAGATGACACTGAAGAAAGAGAGCAAAAAGTGAGAACATTAAAAGAAACTCAGAACAGAAGGACTCTAAAGGAAAAGGAAATATTTAAAGGAACAGAATAGAAATTAAAGTGACAACTACATGAGGTCACCCCATACTGGGTTATAGGAACTAAATAGGTATTTATTTAGGAGAAGGCCTTGTGGGTTGTATGGCAATAAAAAGTGGGATAAGAGAGCCTCAGTTTTTTAAGGAAGAATTTGAAGCACCTCAGGAATGAGAGAGCTAATTAAGAACAGACATGAAACAGGTTACGTAGAAGGAAGTCACTAAAGACTAGATGGATGGACACAAGGAAAAGTTTACTGGTAAATGTAGTGAGGATGAAAACCAGACTACAAGCAATAAAACCCAGAGTTAAAAAAGCATGTCATCACAGCATACAAAGAATTTAGCAATCCCGGGAGGTCAGGAACTGTTATATAATGATGTCAATAAAACATTCTCATTATCAAATACATGTAAGCTACACACAATAGCAAACCAGGGCTAAATGATAACTGCATACTGTCATGTTCATTTTAACATCGTGTGTCTTATGACATATGTCTTCTTAATTATTATGACAGAAATAAAATTCTACCAAGACCTACTTGAAAAGTTCTCCTCTCATAAGAAAGGGTAAATTCACTGAAAACACAGAGGTGAATTTGGCTCTTCAGGAGAGGGATGGCCAAAAAATTATACAAACTTACTAAGGTCTAAACCATAAACTTTAATGCATTAGACTTCAGATATTACTTTTGAAATTATAGTACATTATACACTACATGGTTACACTATAACTACAAGGAAAAATTGACATCACGGTTTTACATAATAGATTTACTTTTATAGATGTGGCTGATGTTGGCAGTTCAAAAGTTCTGAACACTAATTCCTTGAAGGTTTTTACTAAGTTTTTACCACTGCAATCCATGTGTTAATTTGCAGAATCTTTGGTGGCATCTGAGTACAATTCTTTAATTTTGCATAAACTAAAGCTAACTAACCACAACCACATTAAAATGAACAACTTATTCAAATGAAAAGTTGGACTCAATACTTTCAACATCCAAACTACTTGAAGAGATTAACAATTAAAAGTAGACTGGAAGAGTAATAACATTACAAAGCATGATTATAAAAGTGAGGATTATAATCCTCACAAATAATTGAAAGCAATCTGATAGAGGTGGTGAACATTAAAAATGTGGTTTTTTAAACACAATCTTTCATTCCTCTGTGATATGAAAATATTTTTTCTCCATTCCCTCATATGCGTTCACATACATGACATATTCACCCTTCTACCATGTGCATATTTTCAACTGAAAAGCCATATATTGAAAGTATTTGTATTTTTTTTTTAGTACATCCCTTTCCTTAAAGCAATTCAGTGAATGGGTATTTTATGGGAATGCAAGAATAGCATACAATTTAGGCTAAAGATTTTCAAATAATAAATGTTATACTCTTACTCCTCCTTGCATTCTTGCCAGAAGTTAATAATACAAGAAAGAATAATCTGATTGAAGAAAACTGTGTATCAGAATAGGAACCAAACTGTTCTCCCAACTGTGTGAACTGCTTTGTCATGAGAAAATATTTTTTCCTTCCTTGTAACAGAAAATCTCTCCCCCTCAGCCCATGGGAAGCTATGAAAGATCATGGTCCTAATTACCTCTTGGAAAAAGGAATGAGGAAACTGAGTTATAACTACAGAGTAAGACATGGAAAGTTTAGTCTTCATACCACATCCAACAGTGATACAATTAATGAAAGACAGGAAGTTGGCTGAATAACGCAGTTAAGAAGAAAATGCTTTTTCAGCCACCCATCATAAGATCAGTGCCTTTTTTTTTTTACCACATATATTGTTATGTAAAGTCCAGGCTTCTTTTTAGTCATCAAGGGTTACTGTAAGTTCCTACTGAGAGTATTCATGTTCCCTTACAGTTTTCTGTATTTAAGTTTTTTAGCTGTTTTCAAAACATGAGAAAGATGCGATGGGATAAAAGGGGTTTGTACGGAGTGTATCACAATAAGATATTACAACAGGATAAAACTCAGTGCAAGATGTGGTTCCTCAGTACCACTTGTATGTAAACATAGTAGACAGGGGAAGCACCACCTCACTCAAGACCAGAAGTTATCTCATCTGTATCCCTACTAGTTCAATATATAATGGTGGCCAAAGAAAGAAAGCAATTACTCAGATAAGAGGCAATGCTGCATTCTTGAGGTTTTGGAGGGGTTGGTTTGTTTATCTATTTTGGGATTATTTTCTTTGGTTGTTATTGTTTGGAGCTTTTTTATCACAAAGTTATCCTGACCTTATCCAAAGGACTATATTCCAATGGAAAAGGACAGAGCAACACTACCTTAAGTCCTTGTTATTCTTGGCTAATGGAGACAGTTTTCAGTTTATTCAAATCAGCTCTATGACTCATCTGTTTCTACTCCTTGCTGGCATGGAGATAAAATACTACGGAGAAACAGTGGAAAGACTCTTGGTCCAGACAACTTTGATTTTAGCAAATCTGTAAGTTACGTGCTGATTGTAAACTTAGAGCAGTAGAAGAAGAATGTACATAATAAAAGCACTGAACATTATATAGCTCATATATATATACAAGTCTGGGAGGACTAGTTAACATGGAGATATTACCATGAGAAGATGTGTTGTTCTTTGGATTAGCATTCTTATTACACTAACCTTTTCAGTTACATCTGTATTTCTGTTTTTAGTATGCAGAATATAAAACTCTCATTAACAGCTAAGACTAAGTTATAGCAGATGCTCTATTATAGCCAGAAAACCCCCTCAAACAGCCCTCAGGAGTTCTATGACTTAACTTACTCTCACACACATTCTTTTCCTCCTCTGTCCCTGCTCTGTGAGTGCTTGTACAATGGTAGGACTGTTAAAATAGGAGGGAGAAGGCAGGTGATAGTTTTATGTAGACTTTCATAACCAAATCCACCCAGCCCCACTGCTCAATGTTTTCCTCTGGTTGGCTGTGCCAGACTTTTTTCTTAGGGCCTTGCACAGGCACTTCAAAATGTTTTACAGCTTACACTCCTCTGAATTCTAGTCAGAATTCTAGTTAGAATAAAGTCTTCACCTGACTTCAGTTCAATGAATCTAAACTGCCTATTGCTTCAAACTACTTTTCCTAACACATGAAGCTTAACACATTTTGCTTCTGGAGCTTGGTAAAGTAATGAATTCTCTCTCAGATTTATTCTGAGAGCAGACTTTTCTCTCATGGGAAGACGTGGCATCTATCTAGGAATAAAACCACAGGAGTAAGTTGTTTCCAAAACTGCCTTTGAGAATATCCAAGTTTCAGTCTGAACCACTTTGAGGAAATACCCTTCTTCCCAATGTGTCTGCAGTAGAATAAAATTTAGTGCTAAAGTTTCAGTGGTATGACAGACTTTATTGAAAAGTTGAAGTATTTTTGATGCTTTGCAGCATGTCCAGTGAAGGAAAAGGGAAGTCAGCATTTCAATGCCACCTGGAGGAGAACTAAAAATTCTAATATAAATTACGAACAGTTAGTTTTGTCTGTGAGAAAAAGAGTTTTCTAATCGTATGTTGTATTATCTGAATAAATGGGGAACAGTTTGGAAGCAGAGGATACTTACGCTTTCTTTCCACAGATGGCTTGCTGGTACCAGTTTCTGCAAGTACTGAAGTATTTCTTTTTTGTTCCCATAACTTGCTGAAGAGCGCAAACATTTGGGCTATGGGTGGAGTGAGAAACATTTTAAAAAGAAGTTTCTGTGCATTTCTGTAAAAGTTCTATATGAAATATTGGCAAATACTGTTTCTGTTGAACTGGTTTCAGTTACCAGGGCAGGTGTGTTTTCAAGCAATCACAGTGCAAACTCTGGGGACTGCCCAGCTGGGTTCCTCGGCAAGCCCACCCTCCCTGCAGCGACAGAAGCTTCCCCTTCGTTCTGGTTTGACCCTGTGTCTCTGGTGGGCAGTGATCACCTGCTGTGCCTAGTCAAGTCTCAATATGCCTTCCATTTCTCCCTTCCCCTTGCAAAGTGAATTACCAGCCACCAGGGACTAAGTGGTGAATGCCATCAGGCTCTTTTCATTAAGGTTTTTGTCTTGTACACATCTGTGCAGCTGACGGTTGTGAGGAGATGGGGAAGAAAAGTGCCTTGTTCTTTATGTAGAAGGAAGCCCTGTCTTCTGTAAATCAATCAGCTATTTTGATTACCAACCCTTTGGACTACCGCAGGCACTTAAATAAACATTCTGGGAATTACTGGGGACCAAAGGCTAAGTTGGCATGTAAATAAAAGAAGTCACAGGCTTCAGATGAGACATACATGTTCCTTAGCATGGTAGTGTACAGAACAGGAATTTCTTATGGTCAAATTTCATGGTGCAAGGGCATTTTGTCCCTCACTTTTATACTTCTGCAATTAAAAATTTCATCAGTTCAAAAGTTAGAACATGTATTTTGCATCACTGGGAAGCCAGTGAACTTTTGTATTTGAAAAGCTCATTGTGTGTGTATGTAGCAGGCAGTAGGAATTCAGCAAAAAAAGATAGGATCGTAAACAATTCTCATTCAAAGAATGATTTTTTTCTTAAGAAGACTACAGGAAAATATCTTTAGACACATGTGTCTCCCTGACACCAGCTGTTCAAATTATTTCTGTGTCTCCAAACAGCCTGGCTTGTAAGCATTGTCTTTTGGAAACCCTGCTGAGCAGCTTGCCGCACTGGTCTAGTGGGAACAGAAGCTTTACAAAGGGTTCCCAGTATATGTTCCCATGTTAGAAAGCATTTGAATAGAGCTCATGATTTTCATTAGGATGGAATAAAGACAGAAAATACTGTGGGATAGGTGTCAACTCTATTCAAAAGTTTGCAAACATATATTAAACATATCTGCCATGCCATCACATTAATTATGAACTGTAATTAATTTCAGTGATTCTCATTCTCATCTATTTTATCCATTGAGAAATGCTGATTTGAGATTTCTCCCCTTTTTGTGAATTTTAACAGTATTCTGTCTACTTTTGAAACTCCCTGGAAAACTTTTTATTTAGGAACAATTCATGTAAAATTAACTTAAAAAAATTCTACTTGAATGACAGTAAGAAGTCACAGTGAAAAATCACATTTAATATAATGCGAGAAGAAAGGGGAGAATAAAGATTAACAAGCTTCCTTTACATTAGAAACAAAAGCCAGTTACTTACCCCTGGTCGCGTGCCCTTATTCGACTATGGGTTAAAATCTTGTCATAGTGAGCAAAAGCAGCTGCTTGTTCAAAAGCAGACAACAAAAAAGCAGAAAAGGTGAATAAGAGAAAGAGCATCTTTAGTCCTCTGTTGCCTCTGGCAAGTCTAGAAGAGAGAACTGGCAAAGGGTTTGGAGAGCTGACAATTTATATGCATGTTAGAAGGTGGTGGGAGGGGACCACGGGATCAACCTGAAACTTCGTTACCACCCTCCTTAGAACAGCAGCATTTGCTGCCAGCTGCAGTCACCTAAATTAGTACTATACATTAACCATATAAGCCCTTTCTTTTATTCCCTGAGTGACTAATTTCTTCATTGTTACACAGAGCTTATAATTTTTTCTGCTGACATAACAACAGAGAAATTTTGAGAAGTTTATACTCTGGCTTACGTTTTAGTATTTATAGCACTGAGGCATCCCGAGGTCACGATCATTGTGAGTGGTTTTATTCAAACCCAGAGGAAGATGTTGTCTGTTCCCACAAGAACAGCATTGCTTTCCTTTGTTTTCCATGTCGTCACTGTTATCAGCTATGAGATGTTTAGCTAAAGTTGATGAAAGTTCCGAATATTCTTGTCAATTATCTGAAATAGCATTTTTGTCTTGAGAAAAAAACACATTCTGATTATGAAGTAGTTTGAATATTCATTTTAATTCTAATGATAACAATGGCTATTACATAATGCTTTTATCCAGAGCTTTATGTAATATATGATTACATATCATATGAAAATCACTATCTGAAAATTTGAACATACACCTTTTTACACTTGTTAGTCTATCCTTCAAAGCCTCTTGTGAAGTAAATGGAAAATGTAATTCTGATCTGTAACTGAGGAAACTGAGGCCGAAGTGGTAGGCTCAGGCCTCCTATGAAGTGACAGTCTCAAGACCCCTGGGGCAGTTAATGTTTAGACTGCAATCCAGGAGTTTGCAATTTTCATGTCAAGGAAATAATTCTGCCATTTATATAGAAGTGTTTGCATATGAATACAATTACAAGGGAAAATCTATAGGTCATTTCAGATCTTTATGAAAATCAAGTGAGTTCTCATGGCAGTGCTTCACTTGAGTTACTTCCTTCCACTAGAGCGAGCAGTGAGGTGAATAACCAAAAATGGATGCAGCATTGGACTGACACACCTGGGAACAGCCTATCACTATAGAACAGAGACAAATGAGGCAAAGAGCAGCAGATGGAGCCAGTGGCAATTTCCTATATGTAATCATAGGTAAAGGTTATAACTAGGTATTGGTATCTAGATAATTTTTGATTAAGGTCTTGTCTTAGGTGACCATAGGACTTCATGGTTTCTAAGACTAAAAGCAGAGATGTTTGGTACTGGTAGGTGGGCTTCTATTCTACCGTGACCTCCACATATCTTACCTGCGAAAAACTCAAGATAGCTCATCTCATCTCTGCTGGAAGCACCAACATCTCTAGACTCTCACTGTGTGAACTCCATGCCTGTAATCTCACAGTGGGATCAGCTGATGGAGGTGTCAGGTCAATTCTGTGATAGAACATCAACAGTATTAGGAGAATGTCAGCGCTGTGCTCCTGTTCCTCTCAAAAGTTTTTATCTATTTCTGGTATTTGCCACAAGAAATAAAATGAGAAATATCACCTCTTAAGTGTCTAGATATGACATTTTCAGCTGCTAATTGGCCTCAGTTGACTGCTCTTTGCAGTTCTCAATCTAAAGATGAAAAAAAATTAGAGGATACTCTGTTAAATTAACTTGACAAACTTCAGAAAGCCCCAGAACTTTGCCAGTAACCTATCTTCTCGGGAGCATCTCTCTCTCTCATCTATCTGTTCAGAGTATGGCTCAGGTTCTTCTCTTCCACACTTAACATGTAGCACCAAAAGTTAGTAGAAATTAATGCTGCTACATTCACTGAGCTCCTGTTGTTTACAAAGATATCTACCACAGTTAAAGATGGAGCAATCTGAGCAGCACTAGGATTTTTCTTTCTTTATTTTTCCAGCTTTCTGATTAGTGATCCAATGTCAAATCACAGAGAATCCCATTTCTTCTTTACATAGACTATAGTAGGCTATAATTTAACACAACCATATAGCAAGCTTGGTGATGTAATTATATTTAATGAGGCAAATATTAGTAAAAAATAGTCAATGAAGACATATTGTTCACTGAAATAAAACAATATGTGGAAAAAATGAAAATAAACTTGATTATCTGAAAAAAAATTCTAAATTGCTGAGTAAGTTGTTCTGGTGAGTTGTATAAAGATGCATATATCCTAAAATGGATTTAAAAATTACTTTTTAAAAAATAATCAGATGGAAATTGCATGCTTATAATTTAAAAACTTCAAGTGAAAACAAAATAGAACAAAAAAGTCTAAAGAAAAAAGAGCAGCCCAACCACATGATTCCTATTCCTCATTTATGTTCATAATAGCCTAGATATAAAAGACAATACTGGACCCAGGCTCTAGTTTGCCTGTGATATAATGATGTGCTGCACAGCACATCAGAGTAAACATTTTTTAATTTACCAACTACAATTACTGCTGTAAATCAGCAACATTTTATTCACTTATGCTCATTGCTACTTTATTTATTTTAATTTGTTGTTTAATTATCAAGGTGGCTACACCACCAACAGCAACCTTAGTTTTTTTCTTCGTTTGGCTAAGTACTTTGTGCTAGTATACTTCCTAAGTGATGTGGTGTTGAAGTCCTAATTATGTATGTTAAAAATTTTAATTATAAAATACATCAAAACACCTAATTGATTTGAAATATTGTTTTAGTAATAAGATTATTTATTATCTACAGCAGAAGGAACATATCCAAAGAAATACCTGGAATAAGAATAGAACAAGTGTTGATTTTCATCTTCCACGAAATGTAAGTTGTGTCAAGAAGTTAAGTCTATGCTGAACAGTTTATTGTATTTCTCTAGAGACCTCTAGTGGACAGAACTCGGTAAAGTCGCTTTCTGAAAACTGTGTTAAGTGTTTACACTAAGAATTTATTGTATGATAAAGCAATTTCTTTTATCATTCCTACAAAGTGTTAGATTAATTATATGATGCAAAAATTCTTTCATTCAAATATTTAGAGGTTTGATTAACTGCTTTTGCATCAAATTGAAGTAGTAGAAGCATCTACTAGTTAATTATGGCTAATCCTACTGTTGATATGCAGAAATTTTGAAAATAAGAATGGAAGTTAATTAAGGGCTTTTCAAACACACTTCTCAGTTAAAATCTGCTGGTGTTTCAGGTCATTTAGAAAGGGTGACATATGTTATACATATTCTGTTGCTTTATTTTGAAACTTTGTTTTATAATTTATGTGTTTGCTTTTTATTGTGTGTGTGCTCAGTGGAAAGAGTAAATGGGCAACAAATTATTTAGACAAAAAGAGAGTGTCTCTATACTGCAGTTGTTTCTTTACTTAGCCTTCCTTGGAAACCTTGCTTTGGAAATTTGGATCTTTTTTGTCATTAATTTCACTTAGAACAACAATTTGCTTCTGGAGTAACCTTCAGTGTGTCTTCTTATCAACTGCTTTGTTTTTAGGAATGCCATTGATCTGTACCAGAAGAAGCCAAACAACTCATTGCTGTTTCAGTCAAACTAAGAGGTTGACAGTAGCACGTGTACAGGAGATTTAGTGTCTGTAAGTGCAAGGCGACACAATTTAGAAGTAAAGTCTTCAGTTGTAATGTAAATGAAAATTACTGCAAATAAAACTATCACCACAAATGAGAAACGGAAATAAACCTCAAGGAAGTAGTTAGGAAAGATATGCTGGTGGTCCTGTGAAGATGATGATCATGGATGCATGGCTTGATAGTCATAGTCAGTCAGTTGAGAAATTGAAACAAATTAGCCATAGAAGGCATTAATTTTTTCTCCACTATCACCACTATGTAGATGCTAATAAACCTGCTTAAAGTTTTCCGCTTATTTTCTGTCACATCAGGATTTTACTTTAAGGTGTCATAGCTCACTTCTGAAACATCACACTCCTGTTTAACTGCTGATTTTTGATGTGATAGCTTTACAAGCTCAGCTTCACATCACCTAAATTTAGCCATCTCAAAGTCAAAGATAGTCTCCTTTTGTCCCAGGTGGAGAGAGGGCAATTCAGATTTTATGTGGAAAGATTTGTGTTCTCTCCTCTAACAGCAAAGCAGATCTGGCACCTAGTTTGAACTGGACTCCTAACCTTTAGAAAGCCCAATGACATATGAGGAGATTCCCTGCCTTCACATCTTTTGTTTGTTAGTTTGTTTTTCAGGAATAGTTACTTTAAAAATATACTATGTTAAATAAGATTACTTACAGTACAATATATTTTCCGGTGATCAGCTTATGACCTGGTAACTAGCTGCTATTTCCCGTCTTAATGACTAGTCCCATAGGGCCTCTTGCTGATACTCTGCATAAATTTTCACTTTTACTTAGGTCATACTATTAAAGCACAGCTACGCCACACCTACAGGAGAAAATTAATTTTCCTTATATTTTTCAGTTTGTTTATTGAAATGTTTTAGACTCTTTTCATAAATCTCATTAGATTTCTCATTGCCAAACTACACAATTTTGAATTTTTAATGTTTCCTCATTACCCAATTTTTGATCTACAAACCCAGGGAAGGATTGTTTCTAATAAATCTCTCAAAAGTCTTTCACAGTATAGACTAATCCTTCTTACGGATGTTAGGAAAAATCTATAGCCCCAAACATCAAAAATATTCTGCTTTCTCTGTGTCAAAGTGACACTAAAAGTCCCAACATATAAGTTGTTATTTACAGTCAAAGTTAAGGGCATATGGCAAAATTTTGTAAAATATTACAGTTCAGCATAACTTATATGGTCTTATTCCTTAATCCTGGATGCTTATTCAGCTCAGTTAAAATAAAATAAGGATTAGGCAAACTCCTTGGAAAATGGGATGGTTGATTCCTCATTCAACAGCAGGTGATGCTGTTGCCATAGACAAACATTTCACTTGGTGAGAGAGTGAACACATCTGATAATGCAGCCTGAGATACATTCCACTGTATTCTCAAATTCCTGTGCTTTTACAGCACATGGTAAGTGTCAGTGCAACACT